AGTATTATTTTATTCCCCTTACCGCCTTGAATTTCAAATCGATTATACATGTATATCGAAATTCTTTACATGTGTTTTCCTCTACTGTGTGCAAATAATGAGGTCATACTCATGTCACAATACTTTGAAGCTGATGCCATGTTGATGCTATGAGACTGCGAACCTGAGGCCACGATGATGCCACAAAATAGGCGAGGCGAGCACAGCTTCAATTTTCAATGACGCGAAGCTGATGCCACAATGATGCGATGCTGAGGCGACAATAAAGCCATGCGTAGGCGACAATGATGCCACAAAAGCCAAAGCTTTCGCGAGAGCTGTACTGTATGATCGTTTACTAAACGCTTGCGTATGGAAAATGGTTAACAATCTTGTCTGCTAGCAATCTCCTGCTTTATGGTGCCGTTGGTGGCGCCATTTCGGCAACACTCGTGATGCCGAAAAAACTCGAAGGTGACGGGAGAGGGGGGCGTGGCCCGGTTTTGGAATATCATTGACTGTTTACCCAATTTATATATCCTTTTCACTTGATTTTTTTTCATAATGTTGTTTATAAATAAATTTTGCACACAAAAAAGTCAATTGGCCCAATTCAGTTACACTTTAACTTACTGGATTTGTTATTAATATCATGCCCTCAAACTTACTGGATTTGTTAGTAAAATTATATGCTCTAGTTTACTGGATTTGTCAATAAAATCATACCCTCTAACTTACTGGATTTGTTAGTAAAATTATACCCTCTAACTTACTGGATTTGTCAATAAAATCATGCCCTCTAACTTACTGGATTTGTTAGTAAAATGATATGCTCTAGCTTTAATACTGGATTTGTCAATAAAATCATACCCTCTAACTTACTGGATTTTTCAGTAAAATCATACCCGCTGACTTTAATACTGGATTTGTCTGTAAAAGTACAACCCTCTAACTTACTGCATTTGTCATTAAAATCATGCCCTCTATCTTGCTGGATTTGTCAGTAAAATCATGCCCTCTAACTTACTGGATTTGTTAGTAAAATCATACCCTTTTGACTAGACTGGCGCAGTCGGGGCGAATAATTTGTTTTGTAATAAAAAAAATTCGCCAAATGGAGGTGTTAGCGCGAAATCACCCAGACTGGTTTATTCTGCAGGAAATTCATTGCTATTAAATATTCATGAGCACATATTATAATGAAGTGGGCGCGGAAATACGTGCATAATGAGGTCAACATGGTAAAGGTCACACTGCAGACCCAACATGGAGGCACGTTGAAATTCGAGTTTGTCGTAGTCGTCGTTTCTTATTCATCACAATGTAGAAATGTAACTCGTACTGTTGTAGAATTGAAAAAAAAATCGGCTGCTACAATCAGCCGACGTCTTCTCGGTCAGAGGTCAGTTGAAGAGACGTTGTGATTGGCTTAGATGATTGTCAGTTAGAACACTCATTAACATAATTACCTGTTGAAAAATCGACGGGTTCCTGCAGTGTCGATAGAGGGCCATGCAGAATAAATCAGTCGCGGTGATTTGGCAGTCACAGGGATTTCGCGCTAACACCTCCATTTCGCGATTTTTTTTAATTTTATTTAAACAACAAAAACAAATTAATCGCCCCGACTGCGCCAGTCTACCTCTTGACTTACTTGATTTGTCTGTAAAATCATACTCTCTAACTCACTGGATTTTTCAGTAAAATCATACCCTCTAACTTACTGGATTTGTTGGTAAAATCATATTCTATAAATTACTGGATTTGTTGGTAAAATCATGCCCTCTATCTTGCTGGATTTGTCTGTAAAAGCATTCATCCTCTAACTTATTGAATTTGTCATATCACACCCACTAATCTTTTGTTATTTTTTGCTTATTGCTCAGATTATAAGAAGACTAGTCTACACACCTCAGTTAAAATATTTGACAATTTTTTGGACAAACTGGAAAAATCATGGAAAGGAAAATTGATACAACAAAGTGGTAAGTTTGCCAGGTTCTGACTGCTTTTTTCAACTTTTGTAAGTTTCTGTAAGCGAAGTGCCAATGCAATACCATTGTGTATCACTGGTTATCTACTTTCATTGCAAATAACAGTACTTATAAAATTGTAGCATTTTGTTCTTGAGGCATACATTTGTATAAAAAAAAAATTATAAATTTAAATTCAAATTTATATTGACTGTTCTAACAATATCTCTCTCTCTTTTCTTTTACAGATATGAAAAAAGAATTCTAATGATTTAATATTTCAACATTCATTATCGATATGCATATATAATATTCATAAGGCCATCATGTATAAATTTTCATTCCATTTTCTGTGCCATTAATATTCTGATATAAAGTTTAGCTTTATTACTAATTTGTAAATTTGCGTTTGTGCTTTGATACAAATTGTAATGATCCATCATACTCTAAATACAATTTTTGGTGATGTTCATTTCTACTTGAGATGTACTTTCATTTGAGAAATTGTTTCATCTAACAGACTCAATTCTTTATGTGCTGGTTCATTTCTTATGCACATATGAATTCTGATAATTGTTGTTATCCAATAGTGTGGTTTGTTTCAATGTGAGTCCCATGTGACGTATACGACATGTGTAAAATATAGTTTGTTGTATGAAAGCATTAGACTAAGCACTGTGTGATGATTAGCAATTCATTACAATGGTTTATGTGTAAACATCATTAGCTGTTTTTTGTATTGATTGAAAATTGAAGTTAACACATTGTCTTCTAGTGCTGTTCTTACCATCCATTACAGCTACATGTATTCATGGAGGGTTTCATCAGGTGATGTCTTAAACATAAAATGACTGAAAAATTGCTAATTACAAACCACAACCCGGCTTTTGAGGCATTTTTCTCATTTTTGATTTTTACAACATTGTAAAACAGACAACATTTTATATTAAGACTTAAGCAATTTAATTTATTTTCTGTATGTATTCTCTGTAATTGCTTCTTTAAATTCCACAATTCCTACCATTTTTGTATGTATAATTAATATTTCCCACTCTTCATTCTAATTAAAAAACAATTATTTGGTACATTGTGTTCAATGAGCCCAGGCTTCTGTTCCTCAACTTCAATCAACGTATTTCACAACAGTGCCACCTAGTGTTCATTTTATGATATTTGAAATAACACTTGGTAATGCTGCCTTTGAATTGATATTCCCTGAAAATGTGGCCTATCAATATTTATCTGAAACTGTTAATAATCCAATTGCTGCTATCTGATTTAATTTGTAATGATTAAATTACTATTATTACTACGTTATTGTTTTGTTTTATTATTGTCTTTTAGCTGTTATTTTAATGAAATCCATTTTCTGAATTCATGTACTGAGCAAAATTTGCTAAAATATTGAGTAGTTTTAATTGCAATAATAGTGTCTTTGAGGGCAGTATATAGACTGGCTAGGCCAGGGCAATCTTTTTCTTTTTTTATTCAAATCTAGGATGGACATGAAACTTCAGGTTACGAGAGATTGTACAATTTATAGAATGCTACTCACAAGTTTTTTGCGTGTGTGCATAATTTAGCGCATATAGCAGTAGCAAAATCTGTCTACAATTATTCATTTTAATATTTGTCAATAGTATGTGAATTTCGGCATTATAGCAGCGGTTTCCATGGACGACAATAACTCATTTCCGCCATAAAAAAAAACACTAAAAAGATTGTAAATTTATTAATACTTTTAGACATCAAAAAGTACTCTGTATGAAACGGTGTATCTTTTTTTTTTTATCACTGAGCAAAATTTTGAGATCTATCCGCTCCATAGGAAACAATGATAAATTCCCTAAAACTGATAAAACATGCTATTTTCACTCCCTTTTATACATTGATTTTCTCGGAACCTAGTACAGTGAGCCTCTATCTTTATTCCATTTTCTTCAGCCTTGTGACATTAGATATATAAAATATGTGAGAATTACAATAGTTTATTTTTGTGTGTAGTGTTCTACTTTATAAAGAATTATTATACATGTATAAGACAATAAAGTTGCCATGACTGGACCAGTCTGGGGAGCAAATACAAATTGGATAAGTCAGTCACTAAAAATGGATGCTATATCTGAGGGGGATTGTGGGAAAATTAAAGGGTGAGATATCTAGATCTGAAGTTAACACAATTTTTCAACATTGTATGTACCATCCGCTGTTACTAAGGAGTTACCTATTTGAAAACTGTAGGTGGTTGGAGGAATTGGTTTTCGACATGTATTTTATCCAATTATTTTATAGTTTTTACTTAACAATTTTAATTTCTGAAAATCCACCACTTCCTTCAGTTTGTCAAAAGTGGAATCTCTAATGATTCATGTATGAAGAGGAAATGCCATTGCAATCCCAGAATGCATCATACCATAACGGTATTAACATGAACGTGACATTGATTCCATCTCGATAGTTGTAATCTTTCCATTGTTCTCGTACAAAGTAGGATTACCATAAATGATCAGTAGCCGCTGACAGTAGGTACAATTCCCACAAGTGTCAAGGACTGCTGGCAAAACAATATTTTTAATTTTTTTCTTACATCTGATCGTATATAATAATTATTTCATACAATAAAAAATAGACAAATCAATCCAGTTACTGTTTATTTATTTTTTTCATTTTTACAATATTTTATTAAATTTTTATGAAAGTGGAAAATTGTCGTATACACACTTTTCAAATTAACAAGAAACAACCCAATACTTTTTTTTTTTCTTCAAACAAGTGTAGAATGTGAAGTGGTTATTTATCCCGCTTTGTCAGTTGTAGTAATGGGGTACATGTCAATATGAGTAACAGAATCAAAAGTTCCAGCAAATAAGTATGGTAATAATCATGAACCATTTGAATCAAGGGAAGGTAGTGAAAGTTTTGAGGGAACTATAAAATCAACTGAATTTTCTAGAGTACTCTCAGTGCAACGTAAATGTACCCTTCATCTTTATAAATATTTATAAATTTCAATGGCAGTTGAATCCAACTCGTCAATCAATAAGCGTAGTGCATAATATCATGTTTTAACAATCTAATGTTATTCACTCAATCAATATAAGTCTCATTTCAGTTTGCATTATGAATTTATAAATATTTATAAAAATAAAGGGAATACCTTTGTTGCTCTGAGAGTTGAGAAAAAGACTGGGGGATAGTCAGTGAAACTCACACACTCAATCCTTCTCTCAGATTCAAAATGTTCCACTCTAATACTAGTAGTACCGTAGAAAAACTTTCTTTACTTTTGTGCTATTTTTTTCTGTTTTCAATAGAGGGAATATTATTATTTGATATTTTATTATCTTTTATTTCAGGACAAGCCCATATAAAAAGTAAGAAAAGAAAAGAGAAAAAAAAAATATTAACAATTATATGCAAGATATTTTTCCCCTAAGAGTTGTTTTCTGTTATTGATTCCTAAGGGCCTTTTATCCACGTTTTTTTCCATGTGCAAATTTTTTTTCAATTCTGTCATTGCCCCCAGGAATTTCTCATGGTCAAAATATTGGATGCTCGATTTGGTCAATATCGTGTAACTAGGTGATCGTTATAAAAAGTACGAGAAACTTAGGGGGTTTAGTTTAGCACATGACCAAATCCAACATGGCGGCGAAGGAGTGAACTTTTTGGAAATAATCACAGTATACTCAGTATATCGCCGTCGTATTAAGGTACTTGTACAGGAATCCCATTACATCCACGATAGAAGATCTGGACATTACAATAGTTGTTGCACAAGTATATTACGTAAGAACAGTTCATTATTTTTGTTGATATTAATATTGTTCTGTGGGCGTTCCATGTATACTGAAAACAAAATCACGTTGTCGGCTTTGACCCGGTCGACTGTCCACGTTTCAAAAATACTGGAATTGTTGAGTCAGACAGCCGTATGGTCGATGTATTCTGTTAGGGTGACGTATTTCCTAATCAGCGTGATATTTCGTGTGAAATGCGTCTGGGTGTGTGTGAAGCCCGCCTGGAACTTGCGTGATCGTGTCACAGAACAGGAAATCGTCAGCACCGACAGAATCGATGACTGATATCTGCCCTTTATCAGTTTATGGCTAGGCTATTAATCATGCGAATAAATAAACTTGTAGCTATATGTTATTGCTGTGACATCATATCGAAAGATATCTTCAGTCATTTATCGCATATCTTAAATGGAAAATATTATTTATTTTTTCAAAGAATTAAATTTGCATGCATTTTGCATATCAATTTCTAATTTCGTTTTCACCATGGTAACTGCAGTGTGGTTGGATTAAAGTTCTAATCCGCGTGTCCCACCTCCTGTCATCATGCGATACTAAGAAAGGTTGCACAATTTCATAATTTAAGTCTATGGTATATCGTGGTATACATTTATGAAAGTGGCTATTAGTTTGTACAGGTTCTTGGAAAATATGAAAGCTGATGAAACTTCAAATTGACTTGACAGTTTCGGTATTTTTCTAATAAATAGTTTACCGTATGTATAATATGAAACTATAATAACACCTTGAGTTTTATTAAAATACCACAGTTAAACTGCGGCTCTGGGTGTATAAAAAGAAAGATGGTAACCAGATTTTAGTATGCAATTCACACACCATTATGATGTATCTGCTCAGCGAAATTCATATTTTTGATAATCAGAATTATCCCAGAATCCCATACATCAATTGTATACTTGTAGTATACAATTTTGACTTTAGTCATAAGCCCAGGGGCCTCAACATGTAAAATCGGGGAAAGTAAGGGGTGGGCTTATACTTGAGGACCACCTCAGAGATGCTTTTTGGGGGTTTAACATTGTAACCTTCTTTTGTTCACCATGCCGGGCTCGGGGGAATATTGCGTCTTTTTGAGGAAAAAAAAAATGCGTCATTGATTTCCACACACTTTTACAGTGAAGAAACAAACATGTTCATAGAAATACACACATTTTATTCTAATACGATTTACATACTGTCTGAATTTACAGTGTAAAAATGAGTAGGGTCTGTGGGAAAACATTCAAAGGCAAGATCTTTATCATTAATTTTGTTGTGGGATGTATTCGATCATACGCAAACTCTTGATGCAAAGAATTTTTCGCTATGATGTCTTTCAGCCGATTTGACCTGAAACAATGTCCTTTGGCTTAAAATCAACCAAACAAAATGCTGTGTCGTACTGACAAAATTTCCCGTTTATTGACAATGCAATTTTTTTAACGTAATGCAGAAGTGAATGATGTTAAAATGCAATTTTGACAAAAAATAACGGCGATTTTTTCCCTATAAAAGTTTTCAAAAGGTAAACTGAGTATGGAGAAAGTAATTAAACACCTTTCACGGTTGCCAATGATGAGAAGGCAAGTTTTAAACAGCCATGCAAGTCTTCCAAATGACTGTCAATCAGAGGTTTGTTTAAATTACAGTCTCTCTAGATTCATTTAAATCACAGTCTACCTCTATGTTAGAGGAACTATGTTAATCAAAGGCTACTAGTAATTCAAACTGTTAATGATGTCATGATATGAACTGTCAAGGCAAAGAATGGTGTACATAAAATGTTAGCACATACTGATAATGTTTATATACATGCACAAGGCAAAAGTTAAGTGGGCCATTCAAATATGCTTTCCCATGATGCATTGGTGTTTTCCTAAGGATTGTGGACCCATACTTGAAAAGACTTATGGCTTAGGTACAAGATAATTCCAATGTAGTTGTGTGTACTTTCTGGGTATGTCTTTCTTTCCATTAAAATCTTGAAAGTCTATTGGCTCCATAATTAATCTGGGAAAGAAGGAAATACAAATGTGGGTCTTGGAGAAATACAACTGAATAGACAACAACATGGAATACAGTGAACAATACAAAGATGTACCTTATTTTATAAACATATTTATAACAAATTGTAAATAGATTTCATTGAAATTAAATAATTAGTGATTGGCCCAAGTTAGTACATAATTCACTCACATGCTTTAAGTGACATGCATGTAGCGACTATGACCGCTCACTTATTCAAATTGATAACCTTTCTGATAGGATGATGTTGGACTAAATATTAATATTACAAGGAATCTGTATAATATTATTGTTTTGGCCTGTGATTTATTATTAAAGATAGATTTAAAGAACAATAGAAAATGTGACATTAAAAGTCTACTAATGTTTGATTTCAGACTGCAAATAATGTGGCCTGGCAAATAGACAATACTGATGACATTATTTAAATACGTGATACCATCATTTGAAGCTTGGCAGCAGGCAGAGTACCAACATAAAATTGAGCATATCTGTAAGCTAGGGAATATATTTATCAGTATTTACAGGTGTAAATTTGATTATATGTCCCAAAGCATGTTGGGTAAAATCTACATATTGTACTTCATATACATTTATTTTGTGTATTGACCATAGCATTTTCTAGCATACTTATAGATTTATTATTTTACTCTATATTTTGTTATGACTATTTATGATCACAAATATATTCCCCACCTGATACAGATACATGTATTTATATGTGTACTTATAACAAGTTGTAACAGACTTAGATGGAGTTGCTGTACTGTAACTCAAACTCATGATGATGTTACTGTAACTGTCATCTGGTGTCTGCAGTTCTTTGTATTGGTCTGTAATCAATTCATTGTATGGATTCCTGGCCAGTTGCATGTGACATATTGGGAAAACAAATATATGGATTAAATGTTCACTCATTTATTTCTCCAGATAAAACAATACACTGAAGTCAGAAAGAACATGTACATTGTAAATTATTGATAATTCTGAAATACAAGTCATTTCAAATAAGTTACTCATTGTATGAACATGTGTAGTGACTTTATGTGTTCTAATTACTGTCTGTTGCAAGAACACTACATGGAATAGAGAAAACCATCTGCCTAGCCAATCCAGATGGTGGAACGTGGTAGGATTAACCATTATGAACAGTCCCAACTCGAAATGGCCAACTGGTGGCCTATACATAGACAGTACATCATGGATTACATATGCACATACAATAATTTTGTCATTCGATCAAAGATCACCAACTGCTGACAATTTTTTTGTTTAAAAAACTCTCATTTGATTTGTAATTTTGAACCTTTTTTGTTTTTGACAACTTAATTTTAGAAATATATCTCGTATATTCAGTAGTTTAATTCAAAATTTATACCAAGATTTTCCATCATGGCACACATATACACACATACATACAAGTATAATAATGTTGTCATCTTATCAAAGATGCTCGACTGATGACTGTTTTAAAATCAGTTATTTTGACATGTCCAGAACCAGACCTTGGACATGTGTTGTTTAATTTCCTGAACAAAATTGGTGTCCATGGAGTAACCATTACTGGAGGTTGATTAATGTCACTTTGATTTGAAAGTCTATCCAAGATGACTGTCTTAATCCATCTATCAGGTCACTTAAGTACTGCAACATCATATGCTATGTATCTCCAATTCTCCATAGTGAAAAATGTCATTGGATATACATTATTCCATCTGCTGTTACATTCTACGTGACACCAAAACTACTCCTATTACCGGGTACTCACACAACTAAATTTTATATGCATATGGTCTTTAACATTAAATAGAAAACAGGGACTGTGCATTGCAAAGTGCTTCTCAGATTTGATGTATTTCTGTACCACATGATTATTAACTATTTCTAGTAAGATCTAGTAATCTGTATTTGTAATTTTTAAAACCCTTTCATTCATTTATTTCAGATCCTAACTAGATTACGTAGTATCTGCATCATACCCCTTCAAGATGGAGGGGGATATGAGAGACAACAAGGATGTCTCATGCTATTTTACCACTAAACACTCATGGCGAGGAAAGTAAGTACCTTATACCAACTATGATGAGTTTGATTTATGCAAATGAGTTTGATTTATGCAAATGAGTTTGATTTATGCAAATGAGTTTGATTGAAGCACCTGTGGAATGAGATGTTCGTTGCTAATCATCGACATGGATATTACAGTTATATGTACCTACCTTTATAAATTCCTAATACTGTAAAATACTTCCAACTTGGAATTAATTTTTGTTTTTTTCGCTGAAGGAATAATTCAGTGAAAATAAAATCCAGTGAATATACCTTTTTACCTATATTTTACATTCAACTTGTCAAAATCAGTCAAAATAAATTCCAGCTAAAATAAAGTATTTTACAGTAATACCGTAAAATCTGTATTAGAAGCCGCATCTCTAATAGAAGTCGCACCCATTCTTTTTGGATAATTGAGAACCAAACATTTACCATTTCTTGTATGTGTAGATGTTCTAATAGAAACCGCATCCCCTCTGTTTTAATAGAAGCCGCAGCTTCTAATACAGATTTTACAGTAATACTCATTATTCTACATGTACTACTGAAAACAATGAAATATACCGTCTCTTAACAAAGTGTTTCTGATTTCATTTAAAAATCAATGTGTACTCGTTCAAATTTACCTTTATTTGTGGGTTAACCACGTCACTAATATAGCAACATTCCCAATTGTTGACCTCGCATTCAAACACTTCTTTGTTTACATTGAATGCAGAAGAACAGAAATATAATCCTGTTCCTCAGTGTGAATGATCGCACACCACAAAACTTTTTTTTGTTGCTATTTAGGGTTACTGTATTTCATTAAATCATTACATGGTGCTACAACAAAAAAAGGTCTACTGTAAAATACTTTATTTTAGCTGGAATCAATTTTTGTTGAAAAGCCTTTTTGGGTGTTTTGTTGGGATTTATTTTCACTGATTTTTTGCGAGTTGAATTTAAAATCTAGGGGGAAAAAATGTATTCGCTGTGTAGGCACCGTTCGTTGAGAATAATAACAGGGAAATTCCCGGTGTCTTCATAGGATTCACAAAGTTTTCAACAGAACTCAATCGTACAAATAGCTTCGTCCTACCTTGCGTTGTTTGACCCGACTCACCGTTGCGACGCATCCAACTTCCAATCACACACAGAAAAGCCGGCAAACAAAGTTATACTGAATCGACCAGGTTTAATACAATACGTTAACTCCAAACTGTCACACGTATTCCAAAGCAATTCTTAATACAATAAAGTCCGTAAAAACTAATATAATCTCCTGGTTTCCGTAGCGAAATAGGTTTCCTTGCGCTATCCCTGCGGTCTTGTATCATTCTGACTATTATGGTCTAGTATCTAGGGGTCAAGGGTCAACATACTACTAAAACAAAAGAATAACTCTCACTTAGAGGGCGCTATACATATAAACCGAAATAACTTCATAATCTAATATTTAAACACCAAATGGCGTCTACACGCTGGATTTTATTTTCACTGAAGGAATGATTCAGTGAAAATAGCAAAAATTAATTCCAATAAAGTATTTTACAATATAATAGTTAAGTTATCACAACAATATCACAAAATGCATGTATATTTTTTGCAGTAAGAAAACACATTGACCTCCGCTATACATTTGCCGATACAAGCACTGTACTGCCTTTATACATACTTTGCGATATTCTCTTGTTAACCTAGTACATTGTATTATTGAATATCACTTTCAACATAAAGTGCAACATTTTTAGGCTGTTTTTTTTTACTTTTTTTTTTGTAATTTCTACATTATGAGTGAGAACATGTAATTTTTGTAGAATATTAATAACTTTATTGCATCCTTAGTAATACAATGTTTCTATCGCTATTAATAGCAACAACGATTAGTTGTGCTAACTATTACTATAAAAGCAAATGTTACATATCAGATGGCATTTTCATTTTTTGATTGAAATAATCAATCACTGCATATGCGTATTAAGTGGTTACAAATACTATTTTATTCCATGCAAATACAACAGTTTTAGTTTATAATGAATCATAATCTGAAATGGTTCGCAGTATGGACTATTGAACAACAATATAAAAAATGTTTTTGTCTATATTGTACTATCTCTCTCTTTGAATGAATGAATGAATGAATGAATGAATGAATGAATGAATGAATGAATGAATGAATGAATGAATGAATGAATGAATGAATGAATGAATGAATGAATGAATGAATGAATGAATGAATATCATTTCGCATTCTTTAACCTTTTCACTACCAGACTTTCAAGTCCAAATTTTTCAGCATTTTTTTTTAAATTCTTCAATATTCTGGAAATAGACACTTAACTTTGGA